TTGCCAAAATCCAAAGGAAATAGTCTTGTATATAGCCTTTAGATGTAAGTATGCATCAAAGACGATGGTGTTTTCTAGAAAGTTGGGAATTATTTTAACAGAAATGACATAACTATTAAAACAAGAGATACAACTCTTGGACATAACCATTAGAATTAAATTTTATCTTCCTTTGGACAATTTTGCAATTCGGACATTTTCATTTCGAATAATTATATATATGTGCTTATCATTATATTTTTATATGAAGATAATTCAAAAAATAAAAATAAAAAAAAATAGAACAAAAATGTGAAAAAATGTCCATATAGAATTCTACAATTAACACAAACAAAATTATATCGAGAAATGTTAAAATTGTGATTATTCATAACAATGAGATTGAACCTGTGGCTAGCTCTCATGTCAATAGGTACGATATATGAATTTCTAATTGGAAGAAAACCCACCCTCCCTTAAAGATGTACATTATGGGTGACAGCCCCTCACATAGGAGGGGTGATGGCCGCAATTTTAAAAATTACGAGCCCCACCCCCATGTAAGGGGGCTATCAAACTGAATGTACATTCAGCATTATTCTTTGTAAACACGTGAATTCTTTTGGTTGTTATCATATTATTTCTTGAAACCTTTTTTTTTTTTAATCATTTGACGGTGAGGCACTAGCTAATTAAAATTGAGCGGAAAAAGAAGACAATATTTACCACTAATTCAAAGATTAAATAGAAACTCGTGACTTTTATAGCAGTAGTACTTTATAAATTTTGATACATTGACCACAAATCGTTTGATCAGATCCAAATGAATAGAAGGGAATGATGGGAAAAATAACATTTTGATATTGGTCATTTTTAACATAAAAATTCATGCGAAAGGTAAGGAGGATTCACGAATATAATAAAAAGAATTTAGAATCGAATTAAATGATTGAACCAACATTTAGGTTCTCTCTTAACTAAATCTTGTTTCGTATATAGGTAGTCTTAACCCTAATATATCGATCCATTTGGTCTTAACCAAATTAAGGGACTTATTGTTCTAATTACTACATTGAAATTCTAGGTTTTCCCACATTTACACGAATACATATTAGTATTTTATTTTTATGTATTCCACTCGTCTAATGAACAAAAAAATATTGAGGACATTTGGCAGTTGAACTACCGTAGCATTACATTTAAGCACATATATACGTAATTCATAAGAAGTGCTTTTAAATTATTTCAATTTTTCGAGTCGAACTCTATAATCAAGTCTTGTTTTGCACCTTTTACGGTAAAGACATGTTCGTGCAAAAGTAAACTATAGCCAGATCGCACGTCGGTTCCAAACAACTAAAATCCCTTCTTATGTCACAAAAAAGTCTAATTAATTGCTAATATAAAGCAGAGTAGAGCAGGACTTGGTAAAACGCTCCACGTGGAGGAGAATTAAGGTTTACGGACCACATAGTATTATTCAATTCAATTTCATAGTTGCATGATTGCGGACATCCTCGTTCTACCATGGCCAGCCAGCCGGCCTTGTTTAAAATGAAACCTTTAATGCACCTTTTGGTGAATTCATGTATGATACAAACGTGCAAATGACGTCTTCTTCATAATTTTTTAGCTTTCAGAATACTATTTAGCATCATTAATGTTAACCAATCTAGATAGCACTAACGTTGCATTAAATTATAACTATAATTAAATAAGTGCCATCTAGACATTTGGGTGAAATGGATAAATTGGTATTTTTTTACATGGGACAAACATTTGGGAATATTCGGTGAGGAAAGACTCCCCGCTATTTAAAAGGCTACTGAAAATACGTGACCAGATTTCATGGCCTGAACACGCCGTTCAGAGTGCATCAGGCATGTTGGCGAACTTTACAGCCTCAGGCAGCTTCAGCATTACAACTGCCTATCAATATTTCAAATTGAAGGGGTTGAAGGAAGCTTGGGTAGCAACTGTTTGGAATGCTTCCATCACCCCTAAGCACGCTTCTATCCTGTTGCTTGGAGTTAAGTCCAAGTTGTTAACTAAGGACAAACTAAGGCGCTTGGAGATAGGCCGGAATTGTTGTTTTTGTGGAGTTACAGTGAAGATGAAACAACACTTTTTTTTTTTTTTTTTCACATATCAGTTTAGTGCATCTGTATGAGGGAAGATTCGTACATGGCTTGGCATTAGACGCTCTATCTCTACTTTACCTAGTGAATTGAAATGGATTAGAAAGGAGGCTCGAAGCACATCGTGGCAAAGTAAGACGAAGAGAGTTGCACTTGCTACCACCGTTTACCTCTTATAGACGACACAAAATAGGAAATTTTTTGATAATCTTAGACTGCAAGTTGATAGCATTGTTAGACAGATTCAAACACAACGTATACAAAGTCATGTTTTATTTGTATCCTCATATTTTGATTCAGTTTGAGTCTATATAATTGGGTTGTTAGATCAGTCGTTTGTACATTTTTTCATTTTGTTTTTCCCGATACGCCCAGTGTACTTGTATGCATTCTTGATTTTATTTGTTCGGGTATGTCTGATGTACTTGTACATGATTTTTGATTAATATAGTTTACATTTACTGATTAAAAAAAAAAATGAATCGCTTAATCTTACATCTCATTTGGCCTATCACATAGCACCACTTCGATCATGTATTAGTCTTTTTCTTGTTCTCAACCACTTGCGAAGATTGTTGAGCTAAAGGTACGATAGAACTTGACCTGGAGGAGTTAAAAAGTAATTCTTTAATTACCATTTGCATTTGAGAGTAGGATCTTATTATATATTGAGTCAAACAAGACAGCCGCTTCATTTCCCATTTTGTTGCTAAGTTGGGAGCATTTTTAATTACTATTTACATGGTTTACCTTTTCTTTGTAGTTTGCATGTGGCTCAGGAGAAAAATTATTGAGAAATGGATTAAACAATTAAAAATACTATTTTTCTCAGAAGTTTTCAATTAAGAAGTGTTATTGAGCACATATCACGACAAGAGCCTTGACTTTATGGTGGTTTATAAATTAAACCGTGAATTACGAGTTGCAGCTGCAATTCATTTAAAATGCTTCTAATTCGTAAATTTGAATCTCGCACTATAATTTTTTAATGTGTAAATTATTGTTTTCAAGTCCTTTGGTATGGATGCTTTTTAAAAAGGTTGTCTTAATGTTATCGAGTTGCAATACATCTTCAATATAGAAAAAAAGTAATGTTGGTCACTTGCCATTATATACACCAGGATGTGATGTCATGTAGAATAATTCTTTATTACTCAATCATGCTTGTTTAATTAGAGAAAATAAGTTAGTGCTTCTTCGATTTAAATTATAATATCATTATAATTTAAAAGTTAAAGCAAATTTTAATTTTATCAACCATTCATTTAGATAATTTAATTTTGCTGAAATGAAAAAAAGGTGAGTCTCAACGTCGCATTTTTCCATGGAACGCGTTTATAATTGGAATGTGTTGAAGACGTACTAGAATCCAATGAGAGGAGACAAACTGCCGCTAATACAACTTCACTCACCTAATGTCTGCCGCCTTCTTAATTTTTACGACATAGTGTGTACAAACATTCTTCTGCCAACCATACATACAAGTCTGTCAAAAATGTTTATTAATGTTTTTCCATTGACAAGAGCAAAGACTCGTTTAGGTAGAAACTAGAAATTCTTGTGTGAACATTGGACAATATGCCTTATAAGTTAATATACTTTGTTAATAAAGATGGAAAAATTAGCTGTATGCTTTGCTTCTTAGAAAAATCTACTTCATTCTAGACCAAGTAGAATTTTAACAACCAAACATTGTTTTTTCCCGATATTTAATGTGCCTTGCAAATGTAAAAACGAACATTTATTCAAAGATTCAATTTAACTACAAGGTAGCTTCTTTATGTTTCTTCATCTTCACGTCTTAATCGTGGTTCTTTTCTTAATTACCGTCATTTCTACTTGTAACATTTAGTTCTTATTTTTTTAAGAATAGATTTCGTGAAAAATATATATTTTTCTTAAATTGTGTTGTTAAAAAGTAAAAAAAAAAAAAAACGGAGTTATTGGTACATGTGCAAATTATTTTATTGAAAACATGTAGTTAAAATGAGTTTGAGAAAAATTAAATTATAAAAAATGGAGGTCAAACATGGACTTTGCACAGCGCACGCACCCCTTTTATTATTGCTGCATTATCTTTAGTCTATGTTTGATTTGTGGTTATGAACACTCAAACCAATTTCGGTCCACATCTCGAGAAATTCATGACTAATACCAATTTATCTATCACTATTATTGTTTATATATAATTACAGGGGCGGAGGGAGGGGGCATGCTTGGGCTCTTATGCCTGGTATTAAAAAAAATGTTCCTTGGTTCCACTCCTATTTATAAACAATTCACAAACATGTTATTAGGATAAAATACGGAAGAAAATGGAATAAGCAAAATTAAATCAAATTCAAACGAGCTCCAAATTTGATGTTATTAAAGGAGTCACCAACTTACAAGCATGTTAGAATAAAATCTCGAATATATAGAAATTTGATGTTTTAAGATAGAAACTTAAATTTTAATACTATTTTCTTCGAGTTATCATTTCTTGTCGATAATTAATATATAAAATAAACTTTGCCAGATACCAACATCGTAACTCCACTACCATCCAAGTTCCTACTATTACTAAAAATACAAGAACTATGTTAGTTGATGTGAGCCTGAATTAATGTTTTTGTAGCGAAATTCTTTTTGTGGAAATGAACAATGATTCTCTTGAAACATAACGCTTGTGTTTCTGTAGTATTGCTATTAACAGAATTTTCTTGAATTTTTTATTTAGCACTAGTATACCATGTTTATTCAAAAGGTCAAAGGTTGTGGCCATCTCTCCCTCTATTTAACCGCGCAAACTTGACCATGATCTCCCCTTCCAAGTTCCTGCAACCTCAAACCCCCTTCTTTCTCAAGTTTCCATCTTCTTATATTTATTGTATTATAAACAAAATGGTTGTGCCTTCTCCAACTCCACTCCGAAGCAAAATAACTCGAGCCCTTGGAATTCCAGTTATAGATCTCAGTCTCGAGAGGTCTAAACTTTCAGAACTAGTAGTAAAAGCTTGCGAAGAATTCGGGTTCTTCCAGGTAATAAATCATGGAGTTCCTAAAGAAATAATTTCTAGAGTTGAAAATGAAGGTCGACAATTCTTCTCAAAACCTGCATTTGAAAAGCAGCTGTCTGTACCGCCTAGTCCTTTTGGTTATGGCTGCAAAAATATTGGATTCAATGGCGACAAGGGCGAGCTTGAATATATTCTTCTTGAAGCTAATCCTCAATCAATTTGCCAGAGATCTATCTCCATCTCCACCAATCCTCAAAACTTCAGGTACCTATGATTTCTATCAAACGAAATATTGTTTTGTGTACTGTATACATTGCACATCTACGAAAAAAAAAAAAAGGCAAATTGAACGACAACTGTTTTAGGTCATCATAGATTAGGCGTTGAATATGTAACCACAGAATGTTGTAATTACAAAATGAAAATATTTGAAGTTTTTTTAAACTAAATTACAAAATAAAAATATTTAGCGCTCGTTTGGGAAATATTGAAAATGTTGTCACAACTTTTATTGATTTTTCAATTATAAATTTGATCAACGTTTGTCAAACAACCCTTAATACACTACACAATTAGTTTTACGAACTACGTTACAATTTTTTCGCCCAAAAGCATTTCATCAATAATTTTACTGTTTTGTTGATAATGGATTCTTCGTTCACATTTGTCAAAACACTCTTTTTCAGCTTGTATATTAAAAAGTATGTGATTTGACGAGGTAACTGGTGAAAGGTTATCTTAGACTTGGTTTCTTACTGAAAAGATAACATTTGAAAACGCTTATTTTATTATTTTCATGTTTAGCATCATACCACATTAAACAGATTAGATAATATATAAAATTTTATGTCCTTAGATTTTTTAGTTTTGATGGTGCCGTACTATTCTTAAAAAGGCAAGTAATTTGGGTGAGATTTACACGTCTGTTAAGGTTGAAAACTCTTTGTCAATGTTATCAACTTGTCATAGATATACAGAGGGGAGAGGAGTGAATATATGAAAATTATGGTCAAATGTTACACGTGCTGTGGCCATAGATTTTGATAAAAGTAAGTGATTGAAAAATTGATAAAAACTATGAGATTCTTAAAATGTGTAAGAATAATTATATTTTTTATCAACTTTTTAGTTAAACCAACGGGGAAAAAAGTAAAGAAAATGACTGGTACCCGTTGGAATGGAATTTGTCCAAACAACTATCTATGCATAGATAATTGAATTTTCAACAACAAGTGTTGACCATTGGAACATGGTGAAAAGGGCAAAGTTTGAGGTCCTTCTCACTGTTAATATTTTCTTTGATTTAGTAGAATTGTTAGGTGTCCACGTCAACATTCTGCCTTAGGCAAAATATATTTTTCTGATATAATTAAATTCAACTATAGTGACACAAGAAAGTGACTCTCTGTTTCTTTGCAATGTGGTTCATATCTTACCTTTTCTTGCTGGACAACATATATCATCACAACCCAAAGTAAAAGATAAGTCGCTTTCAATGATGTTGAAATATATGGATGAACTTTGATTGAGTCTTTCCCATTTTTTCTTTGGATTCACCATTTGCGTTTTAGTTCACAACGACGTGCTCTATGATATAAATTTTATCATGGTAAATTTCTCGTTCTCGAAGTCTAGTACTCTTTTTTTAACGATCATTGAAGTGCGTCAACAAATCTATTATTATTTTATACGACAAGGAAGCCAAGTGTCAAAGTCAAGGGGCTAATAGATAACTTCCACAATGGAAAAAGAAAAGTTTTGGAGAGTGCGACAGCTTGTTCAAGAATGTGTCGATACTAAATTTGGGATAACCAAAACATGGTAAAAAGATGTCAAAAAGGGTTATGATTTTGTTCTCATGTTTCTTGTTTGTATTATATTTGCAGTAGTGCTGTAAATGATTACATACAAGCAACTAGGAACCTGGCATGTGATATTCTTGATTTAGTGGCTGAAAGGCTATCGGTGGAAGACAAATCCGTTTTAAGTCAACTCATTAGAGATGTAAATAGTGATTCATGCTTCAGAATTAATCACTATCCTTCAGCCAACATTAATTCCATGGAGGATTGGAACCCAGCTGCCCCCAAACTGTTTGAGCACTCAAAAACTCGTATTGGGTTCGGAGAACATTCCGATCCTCAGATATTGACAATTTTGAGATCCAACGATGTTGGTGGCCTTCAAATTTGTTCACGAGATGGTCTGTGGATCCCCGTTCTTCCAGACTCCAATCAATTTTGTGTGTTTGTAGGCGATGCCTTTCAGGTTAATACTATTTTCTATGCTTTGACAAATGCAATTTGTTGTTAGCTTCTTGTTGTTGACATGAATTTTAATTTGATTGTCAAATGTAGGCTTTGACAAATGGAAG